TTTTATCAAAGAATAACTGTACAAAAGGTACAAACAAAATAGTTTATATTATTTTAACATGATTAAAAGTCAAAAGATGGAAATACATAAAACGTAATTTTTTAACAAAAATAATGAAATATTGCAATTAAAAAATTAGCATTTTACATGTCATACATAATATTGCATTTGTTTTTTCACGTTATTTTTGTTTTTAGAAATGGTTTAACCTTTAACTCTAAAATAAAAAGCGTATTTCACACATTTTTATACTGTATTAATATGCCTATATTGGGTAAATCTTAATACACAGACTGCTTCTCATTTAAAAATGATTACAATATAACCAGATGTTTAAAAATATTTGCTTCGATTTTTTAAATTGCTTATTTATTTTATTTATTACGTATAGCTATATTGGCAGTTTTTTTTGGCTAAACCTAAAAAATTAGCCTATATAGGTATATTAATAAAATAAACAAGCATTTAAAAAAATCGAAGCAAATATTTTTTAAACATCTTATTTATAAAATAAATAAATGATAAATAATAATAAATAATAAGTAATAATAATAGTAAATAATAAGTGAAAAATAAATAAGTGATAAATAAATATTGTGATCATTTTTAAATGAGAAGCAGTCTGTGTATGGCAAGAATCAAACAAAAACACGTTCCTGCGAGCAAACATGGATAATACAAAGCATATAAGTATCAAAATGAAATCTCTTCTCAAGATATGAATCGCAAGAGTTTATTATTTTGCACTGACTGTATGAGAAAGCAGGCGCATGTCTCCTCTTTTACGTCAGCGGCGGAAGGTCAGCGCTCAAACGGAAGTGAGAGTCAGAGCCCATCCGCCATTGTGGAGCAGAGCAGGGGTAATATTCTCTCCAGACGTTACACAGTGTTGTGAATGTTTCGGACTAACATAAACACCCCAAACTGCCACCAACCTCCTCCAGCCGTCTGACATTCGCTGTCACTGCCGTCCGAGAGCACCGCTGCCGACCGTTTGAGAGCAGGCGAGCAGATCAACGCCTGAGAAATACGCTGTGATTATAGGGCAACCCGGAGGGAGGAAAAAAAATAACGTGAACCCGCAGCGGTGGCAGGAGAGACCGTGGACAGTCATATCAGCAATCAGTTTGGGCTCCCGGAGGATGTCTGCGACAACTGTCGATCAGGTACGAGAGACTGTATCCATATAAACATGATAGTGCACGCACAGGTAATGGCTGTGTCTCAAAACCCAGTGAGTCGCCTACCTAGACAGCATATCTGGGCGCGCTTGGGCGAGTCAACTTTTCAAATAGGCTTTAAAAAGCGTCAACGTCAATCTTGGTCGCTTATCTGTAAATCAAGAGTGTTTGGTGTTTACTAGATGTTCTTGCTAGGCCGAATTGTTGTGTACATGTTTGTTTCTTCATAAATTGATGTTTACGTTTTTTTCCTCTCTCTCTTTGTCACTGTCCACACTCTTTGAACCCAAAATAAGAGACCTAAAGGACAAGGAAACAAAGGTATGTGTTGTAAAGAGTTTAAAATGAACCTATCATTATTTGCTTACCCTTAATAGTTATGAAATACAAGATGGTAGATGTTGTCATTCTCGTTTTTTCCTCTCCATATAGTAAATGATAACTAAAACTGTCATTAGGTGAAATGAACAACATGCGGATCATGACAAACATATTTTTGCATGAACTGTTTTTTTAAGGATGTTTGGTTTGCTAGATGTGTCTCATTTATAAATATTCCTTCCTTCTGTGAGTGCAGACCAGTCTTAGTTTTAATCTGCCTGTCTATGTGACTTAATAATTTTGACATTGATAGGCAAAGCTATTTACTGTGATTAATATTCACAGAAACTCTTTTACATCTTTTGTTTGTGCGTGGACATGTTCATTACTGAATGTAATTTACTTGTGCTGGGTCTCAATATTTCATATCAACATCACAGTGGTTTGATGAAGGTTAGTAAAATTAATTGACTCCGTCTGTCGTATAATTTTGTTTAGTGCAAAACGGTTCGATGCATCAGAAGGATGCTGTAAATGATGATGACTTTGACAATTACCTGAGCAGTCAGTCAAATCAGGTGAGTTACTGTCCTTATGCTGTCTTAGTAGTTACTACTGTTATCTGTGTTTTTATTTTCATAGTAACATTACATTGAAATCCCATAAATCTTTCTACAAGTGTCTGATAAGTTTCATGTAAATGTACGTTTTAACATTTCTGACCTGTTTCATGTTTTATTCTGTGATGATACCAACCATTTGCTATACACTATGTTCAGAGTTTGGGCTGTGTATGTTTTTTGTAAGTCTATGTAAGTAAATAATCACATATTGTGAAATAGTATTTTAGTTTGAAGATATTCTTAATACTCAACATTTAATGTAATTTATAATGTGATTCATTGCAATGATGGCACAGCTGAATTCTCTTTAACCTCATTAGCAAACCCAACAAACAGGAGTAATTATCTTACTTTATTATCATACACATCGTTATTTAGCCATTAGTTTGTTATATAATGATTGCTGACTTAATTAATTAATTAATTAATTAATTGTTCCCTACAGAGTAATAGCTACCCACCAATGTCTGATCCCTACATGCCCAGCTACTATGCTCCCTCTATTGGATTCCCTTACTCCCTGGGAGAGGCTGCTTGGTCCACTGCAGGAGACCCTCCTATGCCTTACCTGACCACGTATGGACAGATGAGCAATGGTGAGCATCACTTCATTCCTGACGGAGTCTTCAGCCAGCCCGGTGCTTTAGGCAACACGCCCCCCTTTCTCAGTCAACACGGATTTAACTTCTTTCCTGGAAATGCAGACTTTTCTACCTGGGGCACCAGTGGTTCTCAGGGACAGTCAACACAGAGTTCAGCGTACAGCAGTAGTTATGGATACCCGCCAAGCTCTTTGGGCCGGGCCATTGCTGATGGACAGGCTGGATTTGGTAGTGACACGCAACTTAGTAAAGTTCCAGGGCTCAGTAGTATCGATCAGGGAATGGCAGGACTGAAGCTCGGCTCTGACATGTCAGCTGTTACGAAAACTGTTGGGTCTCCTTTAGGAGGGACGGTGGGTATGAGTAGCATGGCCGCTAACAGCATGCCACCTGTCAGCTCCTCTGCACCGAAACCCACTTCATGGGCAGCCATCGCGAGGAAACCTGCAAAGCCTCAGCCTAAGATGAAGCCGAAGCCCAACATGATTTTGGGAAGCGGCGTCACAATTCCTCCTCCGCCAATAAAGCATAACATAAACATTGGGACTTGGGAGGACAAAGGGTCCATCACCAAACCCCCTCTTGCGCAGCAGATGCTGCCCCCTCAGCAGTTGGTACAGCAGCAACTCTTGGCCCAACCTCCACCCATGCTTCAAAGTCCTTTGCCACCTCAACACCAACCCCAACACCAGCAGCTCCAGGTCCAATCTCCCCAGCACCCTCAGCATCTTCCCCCAGGTCCTCCCCACCATCACTCGCAGCCAGGACCTCCACAGCCCCTGCACCCATCTCAGGCGCAGAACCCCCTAATCCAAAACCGCTGGGTGGCCCCTCGGAACCGAGGAACCATGTTTAACCAGAACAGCGGCATGGATAACTTTGGCCTTGGGACAGGAGTCCCCATGAGCTCATCGCCTTCCTCCAGCGAGGTTCATCCCGTGCTGGAAAAGCTTAAGGCCCTCAACAATTACAACCCCAAAGACTTCGACTGGACCTTGAAAAACGGACGGGTCTTCATCATCAAGAGCTACTCTGAGGACGACATCCACCGCTCCATCAAGTACTCCATCTGGTGCAGCACAGAGCATGGAAACAAGCGCCTGGATGGTGCCTACCGCTCGCTCAGTGCCAAAGGTCCACTGTACCTGCTCTTTAGTGTCAATGGCAGTGGACACTTCTGCGGCGTGGCGGAGATGAAGTCAACCGTGGACTATAACGCGTATGCTGGCGTCTGGTCCCAGGATAAATGGAAGGGCAAGTTTGAGGTGAAATGGATCTTTGTTAAGGACGTGCCCAATAACCAGCTCCGGCACATCCGCTTAGAAAACAATGACAACAAGCCTGTCACCAACTCCAGAGACACTCAGGAAGTGCCCCTAGAGAAAGCAAAGCAAGTGCTTAAAATTATTGCGACTTTCAAGCATACCACCTCAATCTTTGACGATTTTGCACATTACGAAAAGCGGCAGGAGGAAGAGGAAGCCATGCGAAGGGTAAGCGCAGCTTTCTGCCACTCTTCACAATAGCAGAAAGCAGGCACTGCACCTTTAGATCTCATAAACATTGTTATGTTTTAGTGCTGTCAGCATGTCTGTTTCTTTCCTAAGGTAGTTTTTTGAATAGCAGCTCATTTCTGATCCAGATTAGCCTTTCTGTCTCTCATATGTTTTAGAAACAAGCAGCAGCAAGACAAAACCAGTGCAGTCAGTCATAATTTAAAATGAAATGTTTGATATGGTAGCTCAATACATCATTACAGGAGGTGAAGAAATGCAACGTTTGTGTATTATTTCTCAACACGGCTTGCACATATTTCACACATTTCCTCATATTTCAATTAGCTGAAGTGTCAGCAGATAAGTATTGTGTAATAATTTGAAGTAACTGACTAAGAAGTCTCTACCAATCAACAAAAGCCTGGTGTTGAGCAGTGGCACCAATCAGTCAGATTTCCCATTAATAGATTAGACTTGCATCATTTCCTGCCCAACCAGCTCATATAATTGATATTTGTGTCCATTAACTTGCCACCAGCTGCATTTTATCCTTGTTATACACATAGCATTCACATAAGAGGTTACTTGATTTTGCTGGTTTACTAGGTCAGATTTTTAAGGATGAGCGTGTCTTTCTTTACAACAAATATACATTTTGTATCTTAATATAGCTGAAATTTTATTACCTACAATGTTTTGCCATTACATACCTGTAAAGAAGAATCATGAAGTATTTTTTTAGTTCAGACCAATATTACTACAAATGTTTGAAATGTCTATTAAAGAGCCCATATTATACATGAAATAAGGTCATATCTTGGTTGTAAGGGTCTCCAACAACAGTCTAATATGCATGCAAGGTCAAAAAACACTTTCATGGTCTTATAATCTGCATTTATTTTTATCTAATTATCCCAGCGACTCCTGTATGAATCGTCCAGTGATTCATTTGTTCCCAAACCCCTCCTTAGCGCGAAGCTAATCTGCGCTGATTGGGCCGATGACAGTCTGTCGCGATTGGTCGACTGCCTTCAGTCAGAGAGGGAAATGGCCAATAGCTAATCAGCAATTTAAAAAGTAATCACAGTTCATACACGCTCGATAGTGTAGAAGTGGACTTTAGCTGCCACACTATGGCGAGTGGATAGTGCCACGGATAACCGAACGAAGGAGACAGTCGTGTACTCGCCATACCACACACACACAAAAACACACACACACCTCCGGATGACAACGCTCCCGCTTCAGCCCGCACCCGCCAGGTTTTAGCCTGAGAACCCGCTCCGTTTTCTGCCCGCCGCGCCCGGTCCCGCTAGAGCGGAGAACACAACCAAATATCACCCAGTATACAGTCCAGACAGCCAAGCTGTCTGTATCAAAACACACACACAGCACAAAGTACACAAAGCTCGTTCGTTCGTTCGCTCTCTCTCTCGCTCTCTCTCTCTCTCCCCGCGCCAGATTTCTGCGGCGCGGGAATACATTTCCGAATAAATCGCGGGAGCAGAACTCTAGCACGGAGCTCCATAAACAAACAGCACGCGTCGCGTTTTTAACGTGACTTTGCACGCGATAAGATAATATATCCAGTTAACCTGATACAGTACTCGCGGTTACAAGTAACAAATCACAACTAAATACATTTGCAAGCTAGAGTAAACGAGGCAACAACTTTAACCGCACGTACTTACACTTGAGAAATGTAGGAAGAAACCCATCCTGACGTCCATCAGTTACTCTTTACTGATCCTTCCTTTAACAAACTCAGATGAAGTATTCTTTGTAGCATGTAGCTTCCAGAAGTTTCCAACTGCTTGGCTATAATGCTGATGTTTCATCTTTGGGTAGAGACTCAATATAATATCCATCTGCAGTGTGACTTCAATCGACCGGCATGTTTGTGTGCGTGTGTTTGTGGGTGTGCGTGTGTTTGTGGGTGTGTGTGTGTGTGTGTCTGGGTTACTGCGTCAGAGGGCGGGGCCTCAGGTTTGAAATCTCCCGGGTTTGCGCGTGCACGTGAAAAACTTTGTTTCGTTCGTACGTCATGGCGAAACACCTAATGAGTCGGTATCAAGGCGACTCGTTTGAAGCACTATGATTCGACTCTTTTATAGATGAATCAACAGTTTTAAACACTGTATTCTTACAGATTTAAGCCTTAGCTGGATACTTCACTTCACTTAGAGCTGTGTTACACACTACATGGAGGGGAATTTTCAAAAACCCATAATATGGGCTCTTTAAACTAAAAGTTTGCATTTGATGTGTTAAATAGATAGTTCACCTAGAAATAAAAACTTTGCCATTTACTCACCATGATATGGAAGTCCTATAGGGCCATGAATTAAATATTTTTTTTTCTCGTTTTGTCATGATCACGACTTGAATATCTTGTGATCTCGACATAACAAAAAGTTGTTTTCTTTTTCACGAGTTATTTTTTTGCTTTTATTTATTTATGTATTATTAATAATAATAATAATAAAGGTGTTCAGAACAGCCATATTATGAGGGCAAATACTCGTGCTCATGATTAATTTACATTTATGATTATATTCACGTATGAGATTATATACCATTATTTACAATAAGATTTCCTCAACTGGTACCATTTTAAAGCAACTTTATATGGCGCAAAAGAAGTAGCTACATTTATGAATTAAATTATGAAGAATGATTAAGATCCTGCTCTTTCTTTGATCCTTTCCGCAAGTTATTTACAATTATTTTAAAAAGTGAATCACTCCTGCAGCTCAGAGCTGTCTTGAACAGACGCGTAGCGCTTCCCTCATATCTATAGCATAACATGTCCAGCTGAACTCTGAATTTCTATAAAACTGCCTTAACACTTCCATACAAGCCTGCATATTGCACACTTGAACTTGTGTTCCCGTGGCTACGGGTAGGCATATCAAGGGCATCCAGTTTGAAAAAATAGGTTGTGTGGTCGTACATTGGCCAGATGTTAATAAAAATAATAAATAAATAAATAAAATATTCATAAATAAATAAACGCAAAAATAAAGTTGTGTTTAAGTCACAAGGAAACGACTTTTTGTTACGTCAAGATCACAAGAAAATTAAGTTGTGATCACGAGAAAACAACTTTTTCAGGAAAACAAGTTATGTCAAGAGTTACGGGATAATTAAGTCATGATCATAACAAAACAAAAGTAAATAATATTTGAATGCATGGCCTCTTAGGACTTCTGTATCATCAAGCTGTTTCAAACATCTGAGTTTCAGCTGAGGAATACTGAAGAATATATATTTTAAATGTGGGTCACCAAACAGTTGCTGGTCCTTACTTATTGCCATTAAATACTACGGGAACCAGAAACTTAATGCTTTGAAATTTGCTTACTTCAAAGAAAGAAATTCATATGGAGTAAATGCTAACAGAATTTTTTTTTGGGTGAATTAACATTTAAACTGCTGCTTTTACTCCTCTATATAACCATATTGTGAATTGACTAAATTTATTTGCTGCATGTTTATGGCCTGTATGCAGCACTGCAACTTTAATGCTCCATTACATCAGTATTAGGGCTGCACGATATTGGGAAATTATGCAATATGCGATACTGCTGAGTATTGCAATAATGATATTTCTTGTAATATAGACCATTTTGAAGGATGTAAACAAAAACAATGGTCCCAGCGTATTTCCTGTTTTACATGTTTTATTTCTATAGCTTCCAAGAAACCAAAAAGAGCCATATTGATAGATAATGTTATGGTAGCTGTTTTAACATTAAATAAAGATTGAATTGCCTCTTGTTACAGTTATGAAATAGTTTGATAACAAGCAGGAAATGTTCATGGGCCCGTGACATGACCGCATTGAAATGGTCTATAAAATTCCCCATAAAATATGCTATTTTTAAAAACTATTCCTAAATGTATTTATCGTATTCAAATAAACAAGCTAAAAAAAAACTATGTTAAGGTGCAAACATTTAGACTTTAAACCACTGAAATCATCGGCAGATTTTTTATGTTTTATGCAATTTTCATATTTGTCACTTGCCTCTACTGTCGCTATTGGTATTTATTTTCATCTTTCTGAGGCATTGTAGGTTCCCCTTTGGGCCTGGTCTGGCCAATAGCCGAATAGCACCCATTGGGGAGGCAGATGTAAAGATGGTGATCGGTCAAATTTGGTAAAAAACAACAACAAAAAAAAACTATTTTGCTTGCCATATGAATGATATTAAGTTATTGCACCTCTTTGCAGTATGGATATTGCATATGCTGTTATCATGATAATGATCATTATTTTGATATAGTAAGCAGCCCTAATCAGCATGTTATTCGTCTTGAAAAATAATTGTGCATTTTTTACATAAGACACTTTTGAATTAACTTGTTGATCAAGAACATAAATTGAAATTGCAAAATGTCTTGTTGTACATGGACTAAATTAGCTTTTTTCCAGAGCAACTATCAAACCTCAGATTAGGTGTTCTCCAAACGTTATATTTCATTATCTTACCAATCATGTGTAGATTGCCAAAGCCATAATAAAATGAACTATTTAAATTAAAAAAGGTCTTCGAGGCCTGTGGTTTAATTTGTCAAATCTAAGGCTTGATTTGTGCAATGAAGTGATTTGAATGGTATAGTTTTTATGAAGAAAATGTGTGCGTGGGTGTATGTTTGTATATTTAAATGATATGTGTAGTCTGTGTGTATAAATAAATATATACAAGTATTCAAGAATGAGGAGCTAATGCAAATAATCCAATTTGTCAGTTTGTGTCTTTGACATTTTGACTTCCGATCCATTCACCTACTGTTTATTTTGTTTCTCTATATAATAGTGTGGTCAAAACTCTGGCTATAATATAATGAGTAGCTCCAATTACGTTCATTAAAGTCTTCTAGTTGTAGCAGAGTTATGTTGTGTGGAAATACTAATAAGCTTAGACTGAGTCATATATGACACCTTATGTAGCTAATATTCATCTGTTTTAAATGGAAAAAGCTTGATTTTT